TTAGTTTGTTTCTATGTCTCTCCCCCACTGGAGCCTAAGATCTTGTCCCCAGTGTGTCTACCTGACATACAGTTGGCACTCAATGAATGCTGAATAAAACTTTTCGGGTTTCAAGACTGTGGGAGGTCTTGGGTCTCAAGAACAGGTGAGAGTGTTTGGATTTTCCTGGGAAGGCCAGGTTGGTGTTGACATGTAATCTATCTTCTGATGGAAATTCTCTTTGCTGACCTCTCTAATGAGCCCAGCACTGGAATATGATCCTCTCCTCCTTGTAGCAGATCTGCTCTTGGAAGATCCTAGAGCACAGGAACAGGACTCGGGCACCTGAGAGTGGAATCTAGTCCTGAGTTCATACTTTGTAGAAAGCAAGAGAAGAACAGGTCTTGGCAATCAAAGTTGGTTACCTGTTTTGAGGCCCCTGGAGGCCCAGAGAAAGAGTCCAGGATGTGATGAGTCTCCACTGCTGTTTGGGCCCTGCTGCCTCTGAGGGAAACGTGTCTCAGGCCTTTCTGGCACATAGAAGATACCCAGATCACCTGGAGGAAAGAGGACCCTTGTTTTGGTCCCGTGTCCTGGATTTATCAGGATCTGCCACACTTAGCATTCATTTATTTAGCTTCTTGGTTTCACACCTGAGCTGAACCTAAGACAGAAGGGGGTGATGGAACACTGCAGAACTGGGCTCAGGCAAGAACCCCCCAAAGCCAGGTGGCTAACATCCTGCCCCTAGAACCGCCTGCTCTGAACAAGGCCCCCAACTCTGGACTCACCACTGCCTCTGACTGACCTTTACAGCTGGAATTTCTGCCTCCAGATTCAGTCTGGGCGGGGCAGGGGGTGGGGGGTGGATTCTGACAGGTCATGAGTACATCCAGCCTCTATGCTCTAGCAGGAACTGGGGTGAGGGTGTGTTTACCTCTTCCATCTGCCATAGTGGGAGAGGGGGCTACCTCTTCCTGTTTCTTGAAATTCTGACAAATGGAGGTTGGGCAGCCCAATTGACAAATGCCAGCTTCCCCCTCACTCCACGAATTCTGTATTCTCTCCCATTACTCTTCAGGAGGGCTCCATCTCTTGGGCTCAGTTAGTCACTCAACAAACATTCACTTATACCTCCATGGACCAGGCAGTGTGCTAGGTGCTGGGAGGAGTGAGCAAAGGAAACAGAAGTTACACTCTACTGGGGGAGAGACTGATGATGAATAAGCAAGCAAACAAGGCAATCGCAGACTGTGGTAATGCTATACAAGAAATGGGCAGGCAGCTGTGATAGAAAGTAAGAGAGGTCTGCTTAGAGAGTTTCTGTTATCTATACCTCCAAAATTAGTGGCTTAAAGTACTCATTTATTTAGCTCATGATTTTGTGGGCCAGGAATTTGGAAAAGGCTGGGCTGGGAGCTTCATCTCTGCTCCAAGTGGTTGGTGTCAGCTGAAGTGTCGGGGGCTGGAGAATCCACCTCCAAGATGGTTTCTCTTTTGGCCAAACTTTTGTAGTGAAAAATTCAAATATATAAAGTCAAAAGGATTGAACAGCAAACACTATACTTACCACCTAGACTGTACACTTAACATTTTACCATCATTGCTTGATCTCATATCTATCCATCTCTCCACCTCTCCCAGATGGCTTCTTCACTCCCTGATCTGGTGTCTGATGCTCCTTGGATTCTCTTCCTCCCATGTGGCTTGGACTTTTCACAGCTCACTGATCTCAGGCTAATCACCCTTCTTCTGCTGCTGCTTCTTCTTCTTTTTATTCTTCTTCTTCTTCTTCTTTTTTAAGATTTTATTTATTTAAGAGAGAGAGAGAGCGCAAGCACGGGGAGGGGGAGGGGTAGAGGGAGAGGGAGAAGCAGGCTTCCCCGCTGAGCAGGGAGCCCGACATGGGTCTCCATCCCAGGACCCCGAGATCATGACCTGAGTTGAAGGCAGACACTTAACCGACTGAGCCACCCGGGCGCCCCTCAGGCCAGTCACCCTTCTTTCTTGGTTGACTTCCAGGCCAGGTAGGTGCCATGCCTGAGGCTGACAGTCTCTTCCACAGTATGCTCTTGGTCAAAGCAGTCATGGGCAGAAGAGCCTATGGTATGGGCACTGCTGGAGCCATCTTTAGAAAAAACAACCAGCTAGAAAGGGTGGTCAGGAGAGCCCTTTCTGAAAAGGTGGTATTTGGGCTGAGCCCTGAGGGATGAGAATGAGCCTGGTTTGTGCAAAGCCAGGAGAGGAGAGCATTCCAGGCAAAGAGACCAACAAAGGCAAAGGCTCAGAGGTAGAAAAGCAAGTCTTGCACCTCGACTTTCCTTTTCCCATATTCAATCCAGCCCATGATGAGGGATGCTTCCTTCATGAAGCCTTTTCAGATACCTCAGTCCCTGTGGATGCTTCCTCTCTTCCTGGGGTGCCCATCTGGCTCACACAGGTTGGCTGGGTAGTGCACTGGTTATGCACGTAGTCTCTGTGAGGCTTTGGGAAATTGCTTAACTTCTCCAGCCCTAGGTCTCTTCCCTTGTAAATGAGAATAATTACAGCTGCCTTATAGGGTGGCTGGCAGGAGAATACTGATATATGTCAAGTGCTTGGCACTTAGTGAATACGCAATAAATGGCAGCTATAATTAATAATTACAAACCAGTTTATACTGTCATGTGTTCATTTGGTTTAGAAAATTTTTTCAGAGCAGAAACCATATCGTTTTCAACCTTTTCTTTCATGGTGCAAGCAGTGTGACTTGCATAGATATTATGGATCGGAGCAAGCATGGCCCAGAGCTCTTCCCCTTTCTGTGGTGCTAATGGAGCCATGCAGGGCACAGAGATGAGCAAGACTCAGCTGGAGCCTTCCAGGAGCTTCCAGAGAGTGAGAAAGTAATTATGCCTGCAGCAGCCACACTGGGGATCTTTTACCTTTGGATACAGAGTAACAGGTTTCAAGGCACCTGCACATCTGTATTAGTTTGCTAAGGCTGCCATAAAAAAAGTACCACAAACTGGGGGGCTTAAACAACAGATATTTTATTTTCTCACAGCTCTGGAGGCTAGGAATCTGAAATCAAAGCTGAGCACTGGGAGGAAGAATCAGTGTCGTGGCTTTCCCCTAACTTCCAGTGGTTTGCTGGCAATCTTTGTCATTCCTTGGCTTGTAGAAGCAACATCCTGATCTCTCCCTTTATTTTCACATGGCATGCTCCCTGGGTGTAGATCTGTGTCCAAATTTCCCCCTTAAATAAGGACACCAGTCTTATTAGATTAGTGCCTGTCTTAATCAGCTCATTTTAATGTGATTACCTCTGTAAAGACCCTACTTCCACATATGATTACATTCTGAGGTACTGGGGGTTGGGACTCCAACATAGCTTTTTTGGGAGGGGACACAATTCAACACATAAAACATCTCTGTTTCCGGGCGCCTGGGTGGCTCAGTCGGTTAGGCGACTGCCTTCGGCTCAGGTCATGATCCTGGAGTCCCGGGATCGAGTCCCGCATCGGGCTCCTTGCTCAGCGAGGAGCCTGCTTCTCCCTCTGGCCCTCTCCCCTCTCATGTGCTCTCTTTCTCTCTCATTCTCACTCTCTCAAAATAAATAAATATAGCTTAAAAAAAAAAAACAACTCTGTTTCCTATGACCCTCCTCATCCACACCCCACAGTGAGCCCCTTTAAGGGCAAGTACCAACTCTTGTCCTACATACCTGTACCCTTCAGGCTTCAGCTTCTGCCCCCTTCTTATGCTCCAAACCTTTCCCACAGCCTTTCCACCTCCCACCACGCTCTTTCCTCCCTCTCTTTGCCTGGCAAAATCCTACTCATTCTTCATTTGTTAGCTTAAGTGTTACCTCCACAGAGAGGCCTTCCCTGATCACCCTGTCTTGATTGTATCTCCCATGTTATTTATTCTCTCATGGTTTCCCCTTCTTCCCAACACATCTCCGGGTTCATATACATTCTCCGTGTGATTGATTAATGGAGGCCCCAGACATTAACCCCTACTCTGGGAGCAGAGTGAGGGTGGGGACCCATCTACCTATTGTCCTCCCAGTTCCATAGTACATGGAAATCCAGGGCAGAAACTCCATAAGTATCTGTTGAAGGAATACAGGAATGCTACATTCTTGTATCCTCCATTCCACCTCACATAGTATGGAGTTAGTGGATGTTGTCTGAATTCTATTATTAAATTTAATTAATTTTTAAAAATGATTTTATTTATTTGAGAGAGAGAGATCACGAGCAGGAGGAGCAGAGGGAGAGGGAGAAACAGACTCCCCACTGAGCAGGGAACCTAGGACCCCAAGGAGGGGCCGATTCCAGGACCCCGGGACCACCACCCGAGCCAAAGGCCAACACTGAACCCACTGAGCCACCCAGGTGCCCCTCAGTTATAATTAGTGTCCTCTAAGAGTGAGCTCCTTGAGGGTAAGATTAGGTCCTGATCGTCTATGTATAGTTATCTATGCTATATAACAAATGACACTGAAAGTAGGGGCTGAAAGCAGTAACATTTATTATTTCACAATTTCTCTGTATCTCCAGTAACCAGCACAGGGGATAGAAGATGTACTCAGTGAATTTTTTCTTTTTCTCCAAGTAGATTCTATGCCCAACGTGGGGCTCCAACTCATGACCCCGAGATCAAGAATCGCATGCTCTACCGACTGAGCCAGTTAGGTGGCCCTCGGTCAAAGTTTTGAAAGAATTCTAATAACGTGCTTCTGTTTGCTAAGAATTCTTGTTCCTCTCCCCTCTTTGTAGGTTCCTAGCTCAGGGTCTAGCATAGAATTAAAGCGCCTATAGACGTCTATAAATGTCTGCTGAAATGAGCTGAGAGACAAAGGGGCTTAGAGGAACCGGGGAGGTCTGGATCCCGCCTCCCCAGAGATCCTCCTCCGGCTCAAACTCCCAGAGCTGGGACAAAGGCCGGAACCCTGGCAACGTGGGCGGAGCGGAGCCCGCTGGTTGCACGCGGCGTCACTTCCGGGACGCGCCACGCGGAACCACTTCCGGGGGAGCGGCCGGGCGGCGCGGGAGGTGAGTGCGGCGGCGCGGCGCCCAGGCTCGGGCTTCGGGGCGGGGCGGAGTGGCCCGGGCGGTGGGAACGGAGAGGGGGTTGGGCTCGGGCGCCGCGGCCCGGCTGCTCCGGGCGGCGCTGCTCAGCCGACCCCGGGGACGCCCTGCGCGGGACGAGAATAACTTCCCGGGGCGCTCGTCAGGAAGTTACTTGCAGAGGGGAATTTGAGTCCCTGGGAGGTGGAGGGTCTCGCCCCGGTGTCGTCCAGTGTGTTCGCTCGGAGCCCGGGCCTGAACCCTGCGCTCGCTGTCGGGATCTGGCCTTTCCTGCCACCGGCGGAGTGTTAGGAGGAGCCCGGGCTCCGGGGTCATTCCGGCCGGAGTTCGACTCCTGAGTGGGCCCCATAGTACTGTGTAATCGTGGGTAGGCCTTCTCTGGTTACCCCCTGGTTCTCAGTTTCCTCCTCTGTAAAATGGGTACATAGGCTTGATCTAAGGATTAAATGAGATGGTGTATGCAAAGCGCTTAGTTAAGTGCACAGTGCGTGTTTTTCGTCATGAACCAATATTGATAATATTAGCCAAAGTCCATGCTTTATTCGCATTTGGCTCAGTTTCTCCCAGTGTCCTTTTTCTCTTCCAGGATCCTGTCCAGGATACTGTATTACATTTAGTCATCATGTCTCCTTAGGTTGCTCTTGGGTCTGCTAGTTTCCCAGACTTTCCTTGTTAGATCAACTTGACAGTTTTGAGTATTACTGGTCCAATATTTTGTAAAATGATCCTCAACTGAGATTTGTCTGATGTTTTTTTTCGCATGATTAGATGGGAGTTAGGGGTTTTGGGGAGGAAGACCACAGAGGTAAAGTGCCATTCTCATCACATCACATCAAGGGCACATACTATCAGTGTAAGTTGTCACTTGATGTTAACTTGGATCACTAGCTTGAAGTAGTCAAGCTTTTCCACTGAAAAATTACTTCCCTTCCTCCCCTTTTCCATATTGTAGTCTTGGAATAAAGTCATTACATACAGCCCACACTTAAAGAGTGTGGAATCATGCTTCATTCACATTTAAAGGCGGAGTATCTGCATAAATTATGTGGAATTCTCCATGGGAAATTTGTTAACTCTCCCCCATTTATTTACCTATTCAATTACTTATATCAGTAGGGGCTCAGATATTTATTTTCATACTTTGGGTTTTAATCCAGTAATTATTTTATTGCTCAAAGTGCTCCAGTTTAGGGGTGCCTGTGTGGCTCAGTCATTAAGTGTCTGCCTTCGGCTCAGGTCATGATCTCAGAGTCTGGGATCGAGCCCCAACATCGGCTCCCTGCTGAGTGGGAAGCCTGCTTCTCCCTCTCCCACTCCCCCTGCTTGTGTTCCCTCTCTCGCTGTGTCTCTCTCTGTCAAATAAATAAAAAATCTTTAAAAAAAAAAAAAAAGTACTCCAGCTTAGGTCATTGGGCTCTCCTCCATCCCTTTGACATGCCCCAGGGAGTGTGTGTGTGTGTTTTAACATTTTCTGTTCCAGGCTCATCCTGTATATTTCATGCCTCAGTCCTGGAATTAAAACATTTCTCCATGGAGACTTGCTTCCTTTTACTGGAGAGTGTACTAAGTGCCAAGACCTGGTTGTTAGGTGTGATCATTGCTACGGGGATGCCCATGTTTCTAGACCGTCAGTGTAAGAGACAGACGTGTGTATACTAATCTGTATATATACATACATATCTATAAATATTTCTTTGTGTAGCTACGTGTATCTATATTAAGCTAAATCAGTTTGTGTCTGCAACTCATCAGTTCCACATGGATCTTTCTAGTCTCCTCTGGCTTATCTGTAACCTCCCACTCCATCTGTGACTAATCTAGCTCCCACCATCTACCTTCAATTTACTCAGCTGTTCAATTTCAGGATACGTATATAGTGGTTTCAGAATTGTTAACGTCTGCCGCCTGTGGGAAGTAACTTTATCAACTAGGGAATACTGTACACATGCAGTTCCTTTTACCTTAAGTCCTACAGACTCCACTCATTTCCAAAGTTACTGAGGTCTGCACCTGATTCCCCCTGCCCTTGCAGTAAAGTTGTTTAATACATTTGTAATACGTTTAGATTCAGAACGTCACATTCTGTGTTCCATTCTGGGATACCCTGACCGCCTAAATGATTTTTTTTTTAAACATTTGCATACATTAAAGTTTACTCTTTGTGCTGGGGAGTTCTGTGGGTTTTAACAAATCCTTAATGTCTTGTTACTCACCATTCCAGTATCATACAGAATAGTTTCACCTTCAGGGATTATTTTTAACTTACTTCTTTCAGATTTTACGTCAGCAATGCCATTGGCTCTCTCTGCAAACTAGATCCATCACCCCCACTGCTGCTGCCCCAGCGGAGGCAAGTCTTTTGGACTGTTTCACAGCAGCCTCCTGACTGGCCTCAGTGTTCCCACTCTTGTCCTCCTGCAGTCTGTTCTCAACACAGTGGCAGCCAGAGGGACTATTTTATTTTTATTTTTTTAAGATTTTATTCATTTATTTAAGAGAGAGCGGGAGCACAAGCAAGGGGAGTGGCAGGCAGAGGGAGAAGCAGGCTTCCCGCAGAGCAGGGAGCCCGATGTGGGACTCGATCCCAGGACCCTGGGACCATGACCTGAGCGGAAGGCAGACACTTAACGACTCAGCCACGCAGGCGCCCCAGAGGGACCATTGTAAAATGAGTCAGACCTTGCCATCTTTGCTAAGTACCTTTAAGTGGCTCCCCTTTTACTTAGGGGAGAAGCCAAAGGCCTTATAATGGCCAGTCTGGCCCTACAAAGCTTGCTCACTCTCCTGTTCTCCTTGATCATAAAGCTCATTCCTGCCTCAGGACCTTATCCCCGCCATTCCTCCAACCTGGGGTACTCCAGCCTGTATTTAAATGATGTTCCTGTCCTTCCGTTTTGCCTCTGCTGAAACGTCACCTCAGAGAGGCCCTCCCCTCACCACCTCATATAAAATCGTACTCCCTCTTTATATTTTCTCATAATACTCAGCTCTGACATTATATTCCATTTGTATGTGTGTGAGTGCCTCCATTTGAATGAAAACTCCATGGTGGGAGTTAGAATAATACTTGACGCACAGTAGGTGCTCAATATGTGTCCCATGAATGAATGTCTCAGACCACTAGTGTCTGGCATTCAGGGATGAGCCTCAGGGGTTTTAGTAACCTTATGAAATTATTTGTCATGTTTGGAAATAGATGAGTAAGTGGTTTTTATTAAATTCTGGTAGGGGTATGAGATTTCCCCAACATATAAAAACCTCTGCTCCTGTTCTTAAAGCAAGTCTAGCGCACCGTAGGGCTAGAGACACCGCAGGACAGTCAGCTCTGCCCTGACTCACTGGGAAAGCCTAAGCAAGCCCCGTGATTCTCCATTCCTACCCCCTCATTGTTAAATGAGGCAGTTGGTTGAGGCATCTGCTCTTGCTTTCCAGGTGGGAAACAGGCATGGGCTTCATCATTCACCAAATATTTGAGTCAGGCCCTGGAACAAACTCAGGGTGGGCCCAGGGCCCCTGCTGTCCAGGGCCTTATATTGGAGCAAGTAAAAAACATTAGACTCTGGACTCCTTTATTTCTCAAAATAATAAGAAATGTGTTTTGAATTTTGGCCCAGAACACACATACTTGGATGTAAATGGATGTAACTGAAAAAAAGCTTCAGTATACAATACTGACCCTTACTAATGTGATTATTTTTCCTTCCTTCCTTCCTTCTTCTCTTTCCTTCTTTTCCTTCCCTCCCTCCCTCTCTTTTTTAAGAGAGAGAGTGAGCTTGTGAGCAAGTGGGTGGGGGGGAGGGCAGGGGCAGAGAGAGGGGGAGAGAAAATCCTTAAGCAGGCTCTGCGTTCAGAGCCCAGAGCCCGATGCGGGGCTCCATCTCACTTCCCTGAGCTCATGACCTGAACTGAAATCAAAAGTCAGATGCTTAACCGACTGAGCCATCCAGGTGCCCCACTAATGTAATATTTCCTATTGTCATTTATTTAATTAAATCAAGTGTTGGCTAATGAAGTTAAAAGGAAAAACTGCTGCTTGCAGCCCCCTAAGTGGTTTCCATGGCTCACTGATGGGTCACAGCCCTGCACTTTGAAAACCATTGACCTAGTGGGAAAGAGCTCAGGCTGTGGAGGAGCCAGCCAGTTTGAAGCCTGTCTTTTCCTCTCATCAGCCATGTAGTCTCTGAGCAGGCCACGTACCCTCTCCAAGCCTCAGTTTCTTCCTCCTCATTAGTAATACCTGCCTCCCCAGATTGTTGCGAAGTGAATGAGATGCTCACTGTGAGGTGTGGTGCACATCTGGCAAATGATTTGTTCCTTGCTGCTGCTGCAGCCGTGGGGGGTGGGGGGGGTACAGGGAGTCTGAGGGCAACTGCCTCCTACTTGAGATCGGAAGGATGAGTAGGACTCATGTGACTTCTGTACTCAGGAATTGAAGACCCAGAAACACTGGCAGGAAGGCTGGGAAGTCAAGCGCAGGGGTGCAGAGAAGACTAGGTAAGAGTCGTAAAGCATACACAATCTTTGTAGGGCATTTTGTGTTTTCCAGAACCTTTTCCCAACCACTCTCCTGTTACACCTGTGCTGTCCAATATGGGAGTCCTCGCTTGAACGGTGACGATTACGGTGACAATTCACATCTCCCTAGCCTGTTTGGCTCTTCGGCCAATGAAATCAAGTTTATACATGGTTGCAGTCACAGTGTTCATACAAATTGTTGTCTCTTTTCAGTGAACGTTACTTTGCAAAGACTTTCCACTGACCTGATATGCGTTGTTTATATTTGCCGTTTTAGTGAAGGGGGAATATGCCACGATGTGCCATAATTGGGTTAACTGCTTCTTTATTGTTGGATACTTTAGTTGCTTCCTGTTTTTCAGTATCATGAATAGCGCTGCTGTGAACTTTTTTGTACCTGAAGCCTTTTTTGTTTTGAATTGTTTCCTTACTGTAAATTCTAGGAAGTGAGTTATTCGGTCAAAGGATATAATCACTTTTATGGCTCTTGTTATATATGGCCTTATTGCCATTTAAAAAAAAAGCCTAAATGCATTATAGCTTTGAATAAATATTATTGTTGTTTGGTTCATGAGAACATCAAGTCTCCAGGAGGTCAAGAGATGGGCCCAAAGTTAGCTAATTCCTGAGTCAGGCTTTTTGCCCCCCACCCTCAGGCCCCATCTTTTTATTGTATTCCAAGTATTCATAACAGTGTTGCTGTTGGTAACACTAGTTAATCTAAGAATTGATAAGTTCAGTAGGCTTGTTACAGTCTTAAGCATAAAGCTTGGGACCAAGGGCATTTTTAAAAATGTAGACTTTAGGGGCGACTGCGTGGCTCAGTCGGTTAAGCCTCTGACTCTTGATTTCGGCTCAGGTAGTGATCTTGGGGCCGTGGGATCAAGCCCCACTTTGGGCTCTGCACTCAGTGCGGAGTCTGCCTCTCCCTCTCCCTCTGCTCCTTCCCCTGCTCATGCTCTCTCTCAAATAAATAAAATCTGAAAATAAATAAATAAATAAAAATGTATACTTTGTGAGCTGCCACTGTGAAGAACGGAGAACGCTTGCTTCCACCTTGGTGTTCACATGCTGGTGCCCTGGGAGGACGGCATGTTTCTTCCAGAAAAGCTGTTCCCGTGGCCGTCCTGGAATTCACTTCGGGGCCAGTTCATGAGCCACCCCAAACAATCTGCCTGTGCCTGAGCGTCGTCATACCTTGTATTTGACCAAAAATGGTATTCCTGAGCTCGGGCCCCCACCTGATTCACCACACTTGGATTCAGAGGATGTTGGGTTCTTTCCAGAAGTCAAATCCTTCCTGGGAGGATGAAGATCTGCCAGCTCTGAGGTTTTTTTTTTTTTTTTTCAAACGGGGCCCCAGGCTTTGAAGGTGGCTCCCAGAGAAAGCAGAAGCTATGTGAAAGTGGATACCCTGCTGGCACAGGGGTGTGACCTTCCCAAGTGCCCAGGTCCAAAGGGATGCAGTACACCTTTGCATAAGTCCCACTCTGTTTACTGAGAAGGTTGTTTTGCTACCCTTTAGTCCCTCTTCTGACGATGGTGCAAAGCAACGAAACTGCAGTGCCACCATGGAGGAAGGTCTTAGAACCTTCTCTTTGGCCCAAGCCTGTGCCGTAGGAATACAATGCAGGCCAAGTGTGTAATTTTACATTCTCTAGTAGCCACATTTAAAAAGTAAAAAGAAGGACGCCTGGGTGGCTCAGTTGGTTAAGCGACTGCCTTCAGCTCAGGTCATGATCCTGGAGTCCCGGGATCGAGTCCCGCGTCGGGCTCCCTGCTCAGCGGGGAGTCTGCTTCTCCCTCTGACCCTCCCCCCTCTCGTGCGCTCTCGCTCTCTCACTCTCTCTCTCAAATAAATAAATAAAATCTTTTGAAAAAGTAAAAAGAAAAAGGGAAATTTTTTAAATTGTAAAATATACATAACAAAATTTACCATTTTAACCATTTTTTTCCTTTCATTTTAACCATTTTTTTAAAGATTTTATTTATTTATTCATGAGAGACAGGGAGAGAGAGAGAGAAGCAGGCTCCCAAGGAGCAGGGAGCCCAATGCGGGACTCGATCCCAGGACCCCGGGATCATGACCTGAGCCGAAGGCAGACGCTCAACCATCTGAGCCACCCAGGCGCCCTCATTTTTTTTTTTTTTAATTATTCATCAAGTTACTATTTTTTTTTTTTTAAAGATTTTACCTATTTGACAGAGACAGTGAGAGAGGGAACACAAGCAGGGGGAGTGGGAGAGGGAGAAGCAGGCTTCCCGCCGAGCAGGGAGCCCGATGCGGGGTTCGATCCCAGGACCCTGAGATCATGACCCGAGCCGAAGGCAGTCGCTCAACCAACTGAGCCACCCAGGCATCCCTGGGCGCCCTCATTTTAACCATTTTTTAAGTGTGTAGTTCAGTGGCATTCACAGTGGTGTCTAACCACCATTACTGTCTATTTCTAGAAGTCTTTCAGCATCCCAAACTGAAAGTCCCCCATTAAACACTAAGTCCCCAGTCCCCTCCCCCAGCCCCTGCTAACCTATGTCAAGTTTCTGGCTCTATAAATTTGACTAATATAGGTACCTCTTACAAGTGGCAGCATACAACATTTGCCCTTTTGTGTCTGGCTTATTTCGCTTAGCATCATGTCTTCAAGGTTCATCCATGTTGTAGCAGGTGTCAGAATTTCACTCCTTTTAATAGCTGAGTAGTATTCCTTTGTACGTATGTACCACATCTTGTTGATCCGTTCATCTGTTGATGGGCTCTTGGTTGGTGCCATTTTTTGGCTGTTGTGAATGCACCTCTGAACACTGGTGTACAGGTATCTGTTTGAGCCTCTGCTTTTAGTTATTTAGGGTATATCCTAGGAGTGCAGTTGCTGGATCATACGGTAATTCTGTGTTTAACTTCTTGAGAAACAACCACTGTTTTCCAGTTTGTATTTTTACTCCCTTGATAGTGTCTTTGATGTACTAATTTTTAAATTCATTCTGATGATGTCCAATTTATTTTTTACTTTGTTGCCTTTGCTTTTGGTGTCACGTCTAAGAAATCACTGCCAAATCCAATTTCATGAAGATTTTCTCCTGTGTTTTCTTCTAGGAGTTTTATAGTGTGGTCTCTTCAGTTTAGAGCTTTGATTCATTTTTGAGTTCATTTTTGTATGTGGTGTGAGGTTCCAGCCTCATTATTTTGCACGTAGATCTGCAGGTTTTCCCAGCACATGTGTTGAAAAGACTGTTCTTCCCCCATTGAATGATGCTGGCACCCTTGTTTGAAAATCAGTTGACTACCTATGTGAGGATTTATTTCTGAGCTCTCTATTCCATTCATCTGTATCCTTATCCCAGTACCACACTGTTTTGCTTACTGTAGCTTTCTAGTAAATTTTGAAATCAGAAAGTAAATCCTCCAATTTTTTTTTTTAAGATCAGGTGAAATTAATAACACAATTTAATCCAGCATATCATTTCAACATGTAATCGATACAAAAACATCATGAATGGGATACTTTACATGTTTATGTTCCTGCTGTGTCCTAACTTGAGTGTGTATTTGACGTAACAGCCATCTCAGTTTGGACCAGCTGTATTTCAGCTCTCGAGAACCACAAATGGCTGAGCCACCATATTGGACAGCTCAGATTTAGCTAGAAATTGCATTGTGGCACAGATCTCTGAAAACACAGAGGGCTTTGGAGTCAGGTGGGCCTGGTTCCAAAGTCAGTTTGCCCTGTTCTTGCTGCGGTGGGCGGAAGGAAGCCCCTTGTGGGTGCCGTGGTAGAGGGGAAGCGGTTCAGTCATACCAGGGTAGGAGACAGCAATAAGGAAGGCATGCTGGGGAGGTGACACTTGAGCTCAGCCTCAGAGGCAGAGTGGGGGCTTCACCAAGTGGTCAGAATGGAAAAGGGCACTCTTGGCAGAGTGTGCAGCCTGGGCAGAGGCCCAGGATTTTGAAAGAGCCCGTGCTCTTGGGGAGCTACAGGCAGTCCTTTCAGCTTGACCAGGGTGTTAGGAGTGGGGGCCCTGGTGGAAGGACAGGCTGGCTGAAGCTGGACCTGCCACCACTGGCTACCACTGCCCCCCGCATCTCTTACTTGGGTTACTGGCAGTGGCCTCCTCACCGGCCTCCCTTTTCTACCCTGCAGCCCCTCTCCCCACCAATCAAAATGTAAGTCAGATAATGTCACTCCTCTGCTCAAAATCCTCAGTGGCTTCGGTCAATCCAGAAATGTCAGGGTCCTAGTGGGGTCAGCCTGCACTTCTCCCTGGTCTTCCCTCCTTCTTGAGTGGTCTCCTCTGGCCATTTTGGCCTCATTTCCCTGCCCCAAGGCCTCTACGCTTGCTTTTCTCTCTGCCTGGAAATGCCTCGCTCGGATGTTCCAGTGGCTCACTCTCGCACTTCATATCTCTGCCACTCAGCGTTGGTGGTATAGTGGTGAGCATAGCTGCCTTCCATATCTCTGTCACTCAGTTCGCCTCTCTTCAGTGAGCCCCTCCTGTCTGTCACCCCGTACAAAATAAAACAGTGCCCTTCGCAAGTTTTGTTCAGCGCCGTTGTCACCAGCTGGGACAGCACGTCCGGCTGTGCTGTCGGCCTCTGCCCTGAGATGTAGGCCCCAGGAGAGCAGGGGTTTGTCTCTTTTGCTCTCTCTCCAGTGCTTGGTGTTCAGCAGGTATGTGTTGAATGAATAACTGGATGAATAAATGAACAAAACCTGAAACGTATCAGACCTTCAAATGTATGTCGATTAGAGATTTTTTCGAAGTCTTTGCCTTTACTTATTTTCCCTAGCTTTGTATTTGGAAAAAATTCAAATACTCAAAAAAGTTGAAAGAATAGTCCAGTGACTGTCCATGTATCTTCTGCTCAGGCTCACGTGCTGCTAACATCTCACCGCGACCACTTTGTATATTCTCGCGAGTATGCATGTGTTTGTGCCAGTGGATAAAAGTCAATTGTAGAAACGTGACACTTAACCTTTGTGTTTAGAAGTTGGCTCTGGAGAGTGGTGACTCAGAGGAGACCACAGGCAGCAGGTGGCCGAGGCCATGGCCTCCGACCTGGACTTCTCACCTCCCGAGGTGCCTGAGCCTACTTTCCTGGAGAACCTGCTGCGGTACGGACTCTTCCTGGGGGCCATGTTCCAGCTCATCTGTGTGCTGGCCATCATCCTACCTGTTCCCAAGTCCCACGAGGTGGTGAGTCCTTCCCTGTGAGCCTCTGCTCCTCAGACTGGGTTCTAGGTCCTAAAAACAGATACCATGGCAGAGAAAATCAGTTAGGACTCTGCCAGATTCCCGCCTAGTGGCTTTGAACCATGTGACCAGTACTTTATTTGTTCACACGTGTTAAGCAGATTTTTATTTACTGCCTGCTACATGTCAGTCTGCAGCAAGTTGTAGTGTCCGTCCTCATGCAGCTTCTAGTCCTTGAGAGAGGGGCAGAAATGACACTTGCGGATGTTTCCATGAGAAGCCCAGAGCACTGTGAGGGTGCATATCCAGGGGGAGGATCTGGTCTTCCCTGGGGCAGGGGAATTGCATTTGCAAGGACTCTAGTCTAGTTCAAGTCACTGAACGACGATGACCGTGGCCAGCGCACAGAGGGACATGATGAGAGATGTGGGTGGGGCCCGGAGGGTTTTAAGTAAGACACTGACAGGATCAGATTGGCTTTTTGTTGTATTGACTTTATTCTATAGGTCTTTTTATTCTGTAGCATACTCCCTCCTTCCACCACCCTCTCTCCCCCACCCTCCCTTTTCTCATGACATTGATTTGTTGGAGAAAGCGGGTCATTGTCATCTACAGTATCCACCTCCAGGATTTAGCTGATTGCCTCTGTGCAGTGTCATTTAACCCGTTTCTCTGTTCCCTGTATTTCCTATGAATAGGAAGTTCAATCTAGATGCTTGAGTGAACTCAGATCAGGTTATTTGGTGAGAACACCTCCTAGCTGGTGCTGTGGACTTCCTGTTACATGTCATCGATGAGCATGTGGTGTTTGCCTGTCACACATTTAGAGATTCCGATTGATCAGTGTGTTCAGGTGGTGTTAGCTGATCCTTCTATTGAAAAATCCCCACCAGTCTTTCACCTAAGCGTTTTCAGAATCCATTGTTGAGCCCCATTATTTCCTTGTGCATTTATTGGCTGGAATTCTTCGATGAAGAAGACCTTTTCCTCATTACCTGTATGGTTATTCTGAAATGCTCTTCATATCATAGTAAAGGCTGGATGAATGCTTGGTTCTTTCCCTTTATTAATTTTCAGAGCAGTGAGTTTGGACTCTAGCAACCTCCAATCTCGGCCAATGAAGCTTTGATTTTCACATCATTTTGAACATTATATTTGTATTTTTATTTATATGTATATATTTTTTTAAAGATTTATTTATTTGAGAGAGATGGGAGGGAGGGGCAGAGGGAGAGAGAGTCTTAAGCAGAATCCACCGTGAACACAGAGCATGACACAGGGCTCGATCTCACTACCCTGAGATCATGACCTGAGCTGAAACCAAGAGTGCGATGCTTAACCGACTGCGCCACCCAGGCACCCCTTGAACATACATTTTAATATATTGGATAAGTTTTTAGGTTTTTTTATGCTCAAATGGTTTCAAGGGGAGCCTCATCACATTGAGGCTGTGTGAAATATTGTTACCAGGGAAGTTCATTTAAGACTCATTGCCTAGGACTTCTCTTGGAGACGGGTCACATAAACACCCTCTGCTTATGGACCAGAATTCCAGACTTCCAGAAGGAACGTAGGTATTCGGCATAAACCATATTGTTTGATTTAGGTACAGTGAGTCACTCTAATCAGTTCTGGGAATTGTGGGAACCACCCAAAATCCAATTTCCCAGGTGCCAGCCAGGCTTTTAAAGATAGCAGGTTTTTTTTATGTTGACTCTGTTGCACACACTTACAATATATTTATTATAATTTAAAAATAACTACATTGTTTTTTACTACTAACATTAAGACTCAGAATGAAATATAAGATTTCTTTGTGGTTCTTTCTGGCTTTAGAATATATCCCAGTAGGGATGTATGGTCAGAGTACTGGGTTTAGTAATTCTTGTCTTCATATAGTTATACTCCCATTGTGATATACAGTTAGGCTAATTTGCTTCAACTTTTTTTTGAAATTTTAGGGATTTTTTTTCCCATTTTAATTTAATTAAAAAATTACATTAAATGTTTATGTACAATATTTCTCCCAAAGTCAAAATGATACAAGATACAATTGAAAGTCTCCTTTAACCTCAATATTCTCCACTCCCTTCCCTTCCTTCTTCCATAGGTAATAATTTTTATTATTTTGATGTATTCTTCTTTTGTTTCTTTTTGAAAACATAAGCAGGGGCGCCTGGGTGGCTCAGTTGGTTAAGCGTCTGCCTTCAGCTCAGGTCATGATCCCAGGGTGCTGGGATCGAGCCCCGCATCGCTTCTCCCTGTCCCTCTCTGCTGCTTTCCCTGATTGTGCTCTCTCTCTCTCTCTCTGTGTGTGTCAAATAAATAAATTTTTTAAAAAATTAAAAAAAAAACATAAGCAAATGCATATGTGTGTGTGGTGTGGATACACATACATATGTCTATATATAAATATTCTCCCCTTTGATACATAAAAGATGGCACACCATTAAATACAGTTTCACATAGTTTCTTTTTTCATTTAACAACATATGGTATATTCTGGAGATCCATTTTTCTTGGAGATGACTATGTCCCAGAGATCCTGCTCATGTAGCTGGGAGGATCATGGCCGTTTACTGATGGCAATGGAGAGCCCTGGCGAAGGACCAGCTTGGGGTGGGGCTGGAGAAGAAGTGTGCTGAGTTCAGTTTTTAACGGGTGCCTTTAAGATATCCAGGTGGTTCTGCCAAGTAAGCAGTTGGATCCACAGGTCTCTAGCAAGAGGAGGGTCTGGGCAGAGTGCTGATCAGCATGAGGGAGCTGAGATGTAATTGAAGCCAGGCAAGGACTAGGTCTTCGGGGCGAGAACGTGGGCTGAGATGAGCAGAGGACCTGGGCTGCAGCCCCGAGGAGCTCCAGCATTTAGAGGTCAGGGCAGGGGGAAGGCACAGCCACTGAGGGCATGGGAAGCCTTGGTGAACATGGACGGACTCATGGCCTCTGAGGGTCCTGTCCATCTCCGTTTCTTATTCTGGTGTTTTGAGAAGGAGGTCACGATTGGAGTTTTTCCACCCACAATTGTATCACACTCTAAAAACGTAACCCCTGTGCTCTGGGGCTCTGTCCTCGCAGACACGGCATGCTATTGGGTGTTATAAATAACAAACATTTTTACTGCCATTGGCCACTGATGAAGCCTGCTAGGAGTCCCAAGGGAGGGAGGTGATGAATGTTTTTATTTTACAGGCAGAGATGTAGAGTCAGAGGTGTGTGGCCTTTTGGAGAGCTGCTCCTCACCTCCTGTAGTGTTCTTAACCCTTCTAGCTGGTCACAGAGGCCTGGGTCAGTTTAGCAAACAAGGAAGAGGGGGTGCCTTTTACTCATCTCTTTGAGGTTGGTTTTTTTTTTTAAGATTTTATTTATTTTTGTGGAGAGAGAGAGCATGAGCGGGGGAGAAGAAGGATGCGGGGCTCGATCCCAGGACCCCGGGACCATGACCGGAGCTGAAGGCAGACGCCTAACCGACTGAGCCACCCAGGCGCCCCTCTTTGAGGTTCTTAGTGGCACAGTGGGTTGAGGCCTGTTGAGGCAGGGAGTTGACAAAGGGCTTAGCTGTATGCCTGCTCCCCCCACTCTCCCACTCTACCATTTAGAGGTTAATTTGGGACAACAGCCTCGTCTTTTGAAGTATAAATATAGTACATACCATCTCATTTTAATTTATCTTGCAGTTTACGGGACTAAGGCTCACATAAGTGAATTGTCTTCATAACTGAAGCTTACTGTTTTTAGCCTTTTTTTTTAAGCTTTTCAGTGGATCAGTAACAAAAAATACAGTACTGGTAATTAAACTTTATCTGTGCATCAGGCCAACAGATGGCCCCCAATTATGCAGGGGTTCTACTGCAGGCTTTCCTCAGTGTGCCCCCAGAAGGCAGCCTTCTCTTACCCCCCACACTCCCAAATAGATGGAAGGGAGCACGGTACTCTGTGCACGAACCGTCTCACAAAGGGAGGGTGAGTGCTGAGACTGCGCTCAGAGGTTGAGCCTGCAGCTAGCTGGGATTTGGAATTTGGATGGGGATGGAGAAAAGAAGGGGATTTTACTTGGGGCCAGGGAGCTCTTAGGGAGGAAGAGTGCCTGTGGGGATAGCTGGTGGGGACCCCGGGGGAGCCCGAGGGCAGGAGGGAAGTGGAAGGTGCCAGGAGGTGGGAGAGGGTAGAAGTGGGGTGGGAGGACCCAGAGAACAGTCTTGCTCTCTTTGCCGTTTTGCTTAGGGCAAAATCATCCCTCTTGCTTGGCCTATAGAAACAAGGTTTATTAGTGGCTTCTTGGGTCAGAAGATAATATTTTTGGCTCTAGATGATGGGAAAGCCTTTGAAAAGCAAAAGAATGTCTTTCCTGTTGTTCCAGTAAGCCGATTTTTTGCAACTAGTTTATGACTTCAGTACTTCAATACTTAGCAGATTATTTGAAAGCTCTTTTGGGGGTAATCAGGGAAGAAAAAAGGAACACATACAAATGCTTCCCACCCCACCCCCTTCTTTTCATAGTGGGAGCAAGAGCCAGTTCGCTAAATCAAAACTAAAGTCCTTCCAGTCTTAAGCCAAATGAGAACGTGTTCTCGTCGACACCTCATTAAACCAAGACCTGAGAAAACAAACATTTGTGTGAGCCTGATTGAGGCCTGGGCTGCACTTACTCCAAGCATTTTCTCATAGGCTGGATTCTAAAATAAGAGAGTAGATCCTACCCCATTTCTCTCTAGTCCAAGAGGGCACATGCATGTCATCTCTCATGCCAAGTCTGATGGATTGTGGGGTGGCCATCATGGATGGATTCTGGGCCTCCTTCTAGGCTCCAGGTAAAGTGAGTGATCATTAATGTCTGCTGTGAGCAAGGGCCTAGGGAGTCCTTGGGCTGGTCCACCATTCTCCGTCTGCACCTGCCTGGGGGGAGTTTTCAAAGGCCTGGGCTGCACCCATGGAGATTCTGATTCTATTGTTCACTGAATCCCACATCGGTATTTACTTGAAGTGCCCAGGTGATTTTGTTATGC